CTTGCAGGTATTCTCTCATCGTGGATGGATCACTCGTCACGACAAGCTGGTTCGGCACAAGTCGACTACATCCACTCAGGCTCAGCAACCCATTGTACATTGGCGGTGTTGCAAATGACGTTGAAATCAATCTACACGTACCTGTCACGTGGTGTTTCAAAGGAGCTATGAAAGACTTCAAAATAAACTCGAAGTAAGTTTTTTTTTTCCGAAACCACAACAAATCATGTAAAGCAATTCTTTAGTTTTGATTTAAAATACTTTTCTTGTCTTTCCAGAATTAGCCATTTCGATGTTGAGGAAAAGACTTGGTAGAGTTGGCATTCCAGTGCATCCCCTAAAACAGCCCCAAAATGCACTGCAATGCCAACTCGACCCAGCTTTTTCTCAACTATGGTTAACATTAATGCGGTATGACTAATTAGTATACTTTGGTATAAACCCAAAACGTAATCTCTGAAACTGTACCTATCATCTTTCAAATAAGCGGCAATAAATTTAGAGTCCGTTAACGGGAATGCTATAACGATGATTCTAATATATATTAGAGACAAGTTGTTTTCTTTCCCTGAAAAATCCTTGGAACACTAAGAATAAAAATGTTAGCCCTAGCAGTAGGTTACCCTAACTTGTCGTGAAGCTCGGAGCAATCATCTTTTGCACTTTAAGCCTTCGTCATTCACTTACATTTCTTATCAGGGAAAAGTTACTACTAAGTAGTAATTAAAAGGTCAATTGGAAAATCATTGTCGGGTTCAAAACATAAAACGGAAGCTGGGACCTAAAGGTATTCTAATATATGACAATGCTATGATTTATTCATTTGCGTTACCCAGGCGATATAAAATGCCGGGAGCGTTTGCCATGAACATAATCACAACACGTACTTCCAATGCACCAGTCGGTCACAGCTTCTATGTTTTGATTATGTTTTAACCCGACAATACCGGGTTTTGCAATTGAATGTGTAACTTACGTAGATATATTCTATTAACCTTTAATTTTTATAAAACTTTCAGAGCCAATGATATATCTTTTTTTTTTTACAGTGAAATAGACCTTTTGGTTCAAGAATCAATAGGTGTGTCTGGAGGATTTGTCACACCACCTAAACCACCTCCTCCACCCACACCTGCTCCTCCAACATGTGCAGCCAGTGCTGGCCCCCTCACTTTGTCAGCTGACCCAAAAGAAGTTGGATTTACAGCAGGATTCAGTTCAAACCCAAACCAGCAAAGCTACATAGGATTTACTGTGGATAATAACTTCTCTGGCATAAGGTGAGTGCATTTAAAATGCATTTAAAAGCATTACCAAGCAAACAACAACCAAACAATGTCTTGTTTAGATAAATAGACTAACGGTGAGCTTGCAATGTTAAAGACGTAGTGAATACGATAGAGAATAGTTATCAAAGGTGTTAAAAAGATCTCTATCATTGCAAGCTCACATTTTGTCTCCCTTCGATGCAAAAAAGCCCTTCCTACCTTTCAAGACGACGCAGATCACAATAACTGTTAAAGGGACTATTAAAGTAGGTTACAGCAAATCATCACTCATAAATATTTTTTGATAGAGTGAAGTCTTTAAACCTGTAAAATGGATATTATACTTATACACATTAGTAGACCCTAATTCCGTTGTTGTGGTTGTTGTTGTTGTTGTTGTTGTTTTGGCGTTTACTTTGACTATTACACGTTAACTAGTATGTTTATATTTCGCGGGTTAAATACCTTCACTCGATCTTTTTCAGCTCCTTATTTACCTTAGAGATGCGTCCATTAACCTCCAATGGTTTAGTGCTGTACATAGCTGATAACCTAACACACCCAGAACAGTTTATTTCCATGGAGCTAATAGATGGGTACATTAAGTATCAGGTGAACTTTAACCCAGGCCACATTCAAATGAAATCGTCCATCAATTATGTCCAGAGGAATCAATGGTTCAAGGTAAAGTACTCTTTGGTCATTCCTTCATTCCTTGTTTGTTTGTTTGTTCTCTCTCTCTTTCTTTTGTTCCTTCCTTCCTTCCTTCCTTCCTTCCTTCCTTCCATGGTTTTTTTTTTCTTTCTTTCTTTCCTTCCATTTTTTTCTTTTTTTTCTTCCCCTTTCATTTTACTTTTATATTATTTTTACTGCTATTTAAATTTGAACCTCGAACCTTTCCGATTTCGTTCAAGTTTGAAAAACGCTACGTTTTCAAACTCAAAGAAAATCGGGAAATGTTCCAAAACGGAAAACGAATAGCAGTATATTCTTTTCATTATTTTGTGCATTCACTTCATGTTGTTATAAAGTAGACATAAGACTTCATTCCAAAAAGGTAATTATAACCTTCTTGCGGTTTGTAGGCTTTATATTAACTTTTTCTTTCCTAGGTCCATCTTCTTCGTATTATCGATTTCGGAGCTTTTCTTGTTCCCGAAAGCAAGGAATACCAAAAGGACAAGTATAATGGTGATATCAAGAGGGATCTCAACCTAAGTGGTCCTCTTTACATTGGTGGAGTACCGCCTCATGTCACATTACATCCTTTAGTGAGCAAAAGAGTTGGGTTCAGTGGCTGCATGAAAACCTTGACTTATGGATCTGATAAGCTCGATAGTGAGCTTGCATTTGATTTGCGGAATCCCACTGCTAGCTCTAAAACTTCTTCGTGCTTCAACAACGTACGACCTGGAATGGGGTTCAATGGTTCATCATGGGCCAACTTTGGTAAGCCTTTTTTGTAGTTATATTATTTATCTTTATATCTTTATATCTTTATATCTGCTTTATACACAGAACAGCACAGAAAAGCAAGCAAGTTTTTTATTATATAAAAATGCAAAATACAATAACCGTTATTTTGGATAGGAATTACGTATCTGAAACTGTCCGTACGTGTTGTGGGGTGCTGTCATAATGCACACGCTCCCAACCAATCAGAACGCGAGATTTATAACAGTTATTTTATAGATGTGCACATTTCTTCCTTAAGGTTCGCTCCACACTCACTACCATTACATTCATTGTTTACAACACAAAATATTCAACTTACATGTTGAATTTTTCCGGAGGAAAGAAAACCGGAGAAACCGAGAAAAACCCTCATGACAAGAGAGAGAACWACACATCAAACAAACTCAACTCAACTCACTCGTATGTGGATCGGCAGGGGATAGATCACTTGCAGCACGTTGGAATGCAGATCAATTTGGAAGACATAACAATAGGTTTCCACTTCTCAATATATTGAAATTCTTTTGCTTTTTTCCTCCAAATGGAGCTGCTTTGACGTCACGTGCAAGGGGTCTATTGATCCCTGAACTCCAGACACAAAATACACAGGGAGGAGAAACATCGCAGTAGCAGCGCGTGCCATCGATGCCATAGTTGGAATGTGCAATCTGGATGTCGGCGTAGAAATGGCGATCATTAACTATAAACAAGCGGTTATTGCTAGTGTGAGCCAAAAACTGGAATCTGAGAAAAAGGAATCCATCTACAAAAACTACATAATGGCTATTGTTGAAATATTTTGTGAACCTTTGTTCGCGATCGTTTAATTTCCTCTAATCAAAAATGACGCCAATCAAACCCAAAGAAATCCATACGTACCAGACATAAGTGTTATAATTGTTTTATATATTTTAGGTRAAAGACTTGCAAGTCCAAGTAGCTTTAGTCTGCAGCTAGAATTCCGAACATCATCCCGTGATGGAGTTCTTGTTTACCTTGTGAACGATACCGCTGGACAGCAGGCTTATCTTAAGCTAGAACAAAAGAGTGGTCAGGTAGGAATTTTCGAAAATGGCTTGAAATGCAACGTCTTCAATAAATACAAATAAACAATGATAATATACTTATGAGAAAATACTTAGCCGTATTACGTAACTGTTAGTGTAAAATTAGACATAGTAGACAAGTGTGCAATCTGTGAGGTCTGATTGCCCGAGCTACTATTGGTCTATTTTTTATAGTCTAGGCTCGACAAAAACGTCGATTTTTCCTTTTTCTTAAATATTTTTAATTAGATTGTCGGTACTAGTCTAAAGCAATAACATATCTGTCACTAAGCTTTGGCGGTGTTAAATAGCCCAAACGGGGTACTGGTGTAATAATTGTTCTTTTCTAATTTATTGGCAGCTGGTTCTGTCTCATCGCAATGCCTCAGGAGCAGTTCATCAAGTAACTTGGTCAGCTTCGTCTTCCTATTTGCTTTGTAACATGAGTTGGCACAAACTGGCACTGAATGGCATTGGTGATGCTTTGAACTTGACGGTTGATGAAGAGCCTGCAGTATCTCTTGGGTTGTCAGCAGATACTACACTCAGCGGCAAACTGTATGTTGGAGGAGTTCCAGGTAAGATGGTGTCTTGCTTGATGTCACACGGTTGGATAGTTCAACTCCTATATATGCCCCTGATTTGTTCACTGCTGTTTGTTTTGTTTTTACTGCCTGGCACTTTTGTTTTATTGTTTTTATGCTACACTGGAACCCTTGTTGTAGTGTTGCTGTGTTGTGCTGTGTTGTTGTTAGCTTTATCTGCGTGAAAAATTTATCTGCATGGTTTGTGGTCATCGGATAAAAGCTTTCACTTTCAAAAAGTTCAAACAATGAAAATGATTAGGAAATCAGTATTATCAGCCATACTTGCTTTGGTTCGTAATATATCCTCACTGAATCCATTATCACGTCGCAGTGAAGTTAAGTTATGGGGTGAGATACGCAACTATAATGAGGTAAACAGCAGGGAAGATGAACATGGACGCCACCGCCACCAGGCCTAGGGGAGGGTGGGTGGGGCAAAATTCGTTTTCCGAAGCTCCAAACGACGTCGTACAATAATAGCGCAGCGCACTGATTCTAAAAATAGCTTAAAGATTCGGACAAACATTGCATAGTCTGTTTAACCGGTACGACGAATATATGAACCGATTTTATTATTTTTACTTAAAGTTACAATAATAACCCATGTAAACTAAGATCAACTGCGATCGGCTGTGAAAATTCTCTGCCGAAAGTTAAACTTGTAAGTTTGTTTGTCCGAATTTCGTCTTTGTCTTCGTTTTTATGATGGTTGCGCTGCGCTATTCATATGCGTTGAGATAATTTATACTGCTCCGTGCTAATTTATTCAGTGAGAATAGTTGTGCAGTGTCAGCATCACGTGATGTTACGGTTCAACCTCAACATCAAGGGCAAAACAATAGCTTTATTCTATGGAGTTTCCAAACCATTCCATTCTATTGAATATGCTTCGACCCTACCGATTCTACATGAAGTGAATAGCTGATTGGTAAGATATTTCTTGATTTGAGGAATGCGTTAATGACTGTGATGCTGATGCGATGGTTGGTGATGTTGTTTGAGTTTTTTTTAAAAACTCTAAAAACACCACATTTGACGTTAAACCTCGTTTGACATAAATATAAATATCGTAAATGCTCTTCTATCCTTTCCTTTTGCAGGAAGTTTATCTATTAAAGTAATGATTTACAGCAATGATAACGCTTTGAATAGATTACTCAATGTAAAACGTACTACTAACTTACTAATTTATTTTCCTGATCTATTTTTATCAGGAAGTTTATCTTCACCCTCATCTCCTTCAATGAAAGGATTTTTAGGCTGCCTAAAAAATCTGAGATTTGGCAATAGCGTCCTAGATCTTGGTCGAGCTGTTGATGCTAAGCATGCTACTAGTGGTTGTCCATCATCCGAAGCCCAACCTGCAGATATTTTTGCTTAATAATGCATTGCTTAGAAACTAAGCCTTCTCTTTTGGTCCTTCGAGACACATTTTTTGATTACTTTGAATTGTTAATAATTATTAATGTTAAACATTCAGAAACGTCTTATGTAAATTAGAGATTTTACATAAGTAAGAATTCCTTCGAGGCGGTCACGGAAACCCTGTGACCACCTCCTGCATCCGCTAACGTAAAATGTAGTACTGAGAATGGCAGCAAATAACTACTGTATTTGTGGTAGTGGTTATAGGTGGGTGTATATGGTTATATACCTTTATTTTGATTTCGTTATTTATATTATGTTTTTAGCCACGGTTTTGTTAACTTGAGTAGATCTTGAAACCTCTATTTATTAGCGTGAAAATTCATTAAAAGGAAAAACATTCGTGTATACATTCTTCTAATTTTCTTTACTCAAAACCGTAGGCCCCGTCTGTCTTCCCTATGACCCTGTATAAGGTGGACGTAAAAGCCCCACTGTGGCTTCCATCTTCAGTGTGCTTGCTAACACGATAGGGCCCACACAGATATATATTTGTTATAAAAATTATTTTCAAGAAAAATATATTACAGCGCTTCCCAATTGCAAGCACGAAATCGCACAATTTACCGTCACTACAAACTAGGATTTTGGCGGTCGTAAACTTGAAATTGTTTCCATGACATTGTCCAAAAATACATAGTTCCCTAGTGCACCTGCCTATGGAAATGAAATGCTTACTTCATCGGTCCGTGGTCAATTGGAGCCAATAATTTCATTAATCCAATGTTGAGTGTCAAAGTTTTTAAATATTTCATTAGGCATTCTTAGGGACAGTTTTTATGTCTATACAAAAAATGTTATTTACTTTACATAGTAACGAACGAATTTTTATACATTCAAATGATTAGCTGTATGTTTAGGAGATGTGATTATACGCAACTGAACTATCTGGGAAAATCCAAACACCTAGGTTGCAATATTTCAATGGGACATGTAACGGCGAGGCATGTCGGATATTTGACTTGCACGGATAAATAGTTAATTGACTGGAATTGTACCACTGATTTCAACACCTTGTCCCGATAGGCAGTTGGCTTTGCGCATGATCAGATGATAAACTGACCACCATATCAATCCTGTTCTGTGTAAACATAACGTACCTTTTATACAACTAATTATCAAGAGACGCCGGTTGCGTGTAAACGTTGTCTATAATTGAACTATATTATCTAAACGACCAACGTTTAGAGAGATGAATCTTGGATTGCAGTTCGACTTAATTCTTTGTCCAACTACTAGAATTTAAAAGTTAATTTCGTAAAGAGGAAATCTTGAAACCCAAAGAAAAACCTCGATGCACAGGGGTTAACAAAAAAAACAAATCGCCATTTTTAATTAATTGGTGAAGAAATGCAAGAAGAAAAACCTTGTGAAAAATATAAACTCATCGTAACTAATCGACATTTGTTACGGGAATTGCGTTTACACGGTCCAGCCAAATCACTTTTAACTGGTCAGAAAATTGCACTTTTAGGGGTTTCGTTCAAACAGAACTGTGTTCATCCGAACGAAAATTCATTCGTCAGGGCGTGCATATTTGTAGCCGGCAAAATCGAGGTCCAATTTTTAACTTTAACAAATAAAGAATTGACCTGTTCCTTACAAACACCTTGTCCGGCAAATGTTTCGTACTGCAAGCCGTAGACAGTATGATTTGCGCAAGTTTAGATGGAAAACTTGCTAACATTATCATATTGTTCCGGTTCCATGTAAACAGAGAAAGTATCTTTTATACAATTGAAGAGACGGTTCCGTGTAAAGGTATGTATTGGTTAAATGTTTGACAGGCTAAAATTCGTCCGGTACCGCGTAAACACAGCTTTACTGCAATGTTTCATAAATTGTTTCGTTTCATCAAAGCTTTGTTTAATCTCCCCAATTAGTGTTAAGTCTCCCCAATTAGTTTATACCTAAATCTTGCAAGTAGAACATTATAGATGGGGTACAACTAAGAAAGCAAGAAATATCAAACTTTTTAGTAAAGATTTTGTTACATTTTTTTAAAATTTGAGAATGCACAACAGATCGTAAACACGTATTTATACTTTACATGTTTCAGCATTTGTCGGCAGGCAACCGAGTAGAAAACTCGTTAACAAAAACCCTTAATACTATATATCGTTTTAAAGGTCATATGATAAAGATTTTGAAAATAATATCATTTCAAAGTGATTTTCTAATTTGAAACAATGCCGAGCCTTAAACACAAATCGAGCACGTTCAGTAGAGGTGAATTAATGGGAATAGCGTTACTGCGTATAGCCAAAAGAACTTCACTATGTGAATAAGTAAAAGATAATCTACAAAAGGGAGTGAGCGATTTTTGATACTTTGAGTATTTCTTATACGGTAAAACATTAACCGGCATTGAAAATTTTCGACGTTCCAACTTAAAAATTCAATTACTTTTTTAAAGAAGCAAAATATCAAAAATCGCTCACACCTTTTCGTACTTCATCTTTTGCTTATTCACATAGTGAAATTCTTTTTGCTATACGCGCTAAATCCATGTCCATTAATTCACCTCTAATGAACGTCCCCGATTTGTGAAATTGTTTCCATGACATTGCCTGAAAATACACAGTTTCCAAGTGCACCTGCCTATGGAAATGCAATGCTTACTACATCGGTCCCTGGTCAATTTGAGCCAATAATTTTATTAATCCAATGTTGAGTATCAAAGTTTTTAAATATTTCATTAGGCATTCTTAGGAATAGTTTTTATTTCTAAACAAAAAATAATGTTATTTACTTTGTATAGGAAATCGCACGATCTTCTCGTACAATTTGGAAATTAATAGACACGAGTAATGTTTTGAAAGTTCTTGTAATTGCACGAGCCTTTAGGCGAGTGCAATTAAAGAATTTTCAAAACATTACGAATGTCTATTAATTCCAAATTGTATGAGAAGATCGTCCGATTTTTTGTTTAAAGTTCACTCACCAAAATTTCAGTAAAAAATGCGAAGCGACGCCGTTCATCTTTGTCTATTTGGCGGCCGATTTTCAGTCCATCGCGCAACTGAAATGCATAAAAAAGATTAGTTCTTACGGCTTTGAAATTTTATTTATATGTTTTTTTAAGTACAAAATGATAGAAAATAACTGTTTTGACATTGTTTTGGCCGTGTTGCCATAGCGACTTAATTCGGTACTCCTACGGAGTACAATTAACGCTATAATTGTACTCCTCTCGACCAATCAGAGTCGAGTAATTTTGTTGAGTGTACTATAAACACAGTAATTATACAGCTTCTCATTAATTCCATATAGGTAACTGTCCAGTTATTTTCTTAATTGGACAGGTCTTGTTGATATGGGATGAATTAGGCAGCTATATAATTAATAGGTAATGGTATTTCATGTTCCCCAATCAAGAAATAATCAGACTCGAAAAATTCCTCTGGCCGCCAAATTGGACTATTATACGTTCAAATGATTAGCTGTATGTTTAGGAGATGTGATTATACGCAACTGAACTATCTGGGAAAATCCAAACACTTTGTTGCAATATTTCAATGGGACATGTAACGGCGAGGCATGTCGGATATTTGACTTGCACGGATAAATAATTGACTGGAATTGTACCACCTCTACTAAACGTCCCCGATATGTCTATAAGTCTCCGGCATTGTTTCAAATTAAAAAATCGCTTTCAAGTAATATTATTTTCTGAATCTTTATTATATTACCTTTAAAACGATATATAGTTTCATGGGGTTTTGTTTAAAGCTTGTTGCGAAGGGATAGTCTTAAACGAAACATACCCCTGAAGGTCTCCAGTAACCTTAACACCATCGACCTTTTCAGATGCCATTTTGTACCTTCAGTTGAATAATTGTTATTTTTATCTTTTTCTTATCATTAGTTGCTGATCGTTGTTTTCTACTTAAGCTACTGTCGAGTAACAGGTATGAGACTCGCGTGTATTTCATATTTCATCTTGACGTACAAACTCTGGTAATCTACTACTAAATTAGCAGCGGCGTTGTTCCATTACGTCGTAAGTTTTGAAATTTCGTGTTGCAAAAAAATCTAATTTAAGCCCCTTTTCATGTGCTGCTCTACTCATGTACCGAACCTTATAAGCGCGGCAAAAGCTAAAGCGGCGTCTAAATTAGCTGCCACTCGACGTGTTTGCCGTATTTGTTCTGTTGTATTGTAGTATTTGAATATTAACGGTAATATTTCGTAGCGTGGAAAATTAGCTAGTACGTTTAAGGATAAAAACGACTTTCCTTGATAGCTTGTTGTATCTTTGAATTTTTTGCTAATTTTGAAGCCAGTTTGGTGTTTTTTACGGAGTTATCGAGTTTTTTTCGTCCTCCTTTTACCGTTAATATTAAAATACTACAACACAACGGAACAAGAGATTTGGCTGCCTGTGATTGAAACTGCTGGACTAAACTTTAACCATAAGCCTCTCTTTTGCCGTACTTAATTAATTCATCAATTACATTCGGCCCTCCCTTCTCATCTAGTTACTGTGACGTAAGCTATTCGGTCAATACTATGTCAACCAGAGATCGATTTCAATTCGATCGATGAAACGATGTCAAACGATCTGATGAAACGATGCAAGAGATATTGTAATATAATAGTTGGCAAATTAATACCACAATGCGAATGTTTGTAAACTAAAAGTATAGGAAATATAACTAATTACTGGGCTACCTTTGGTAGACCAATCATGCCGGGTTTTTTTTTTTTTTTTCATGTGCAGCAAAATAGACGATAGCAGCCTCGACAGGCATCTGCTACTGAATTGAACTACTGATCTGGGTCGATTCTGCCTTTAATTGCATTATAGGAATGTTTTGGGGGTCAAATAGTCGCCATCTTGGAAATATGTCCCCTAAAACAATTCCACGATGCACGGCAATGACCCAGTTTTTTCTTCAACCTCGAAAATACTAATTTGTTTTATTTTTTCTAGGTGCCCATGTTCTTACGTACTGGTCTCTCAATGGCTCTAAACCAGGACTGACGTAAATACCACATTACATTTTTATCCCATTGCAATTTGCCTTTTGCAACAAACAGTCACCTTGCTGATATATCACTTTGATAACGAATCAATTCAGCTCAAGGTCCCTTCGGGAAAGCTCTGCTGGATGGCAAACAAACTTTAAACTGCTCGTATGTATCTTTTAAGGGGGAAAAATTATTTTGGAAAAGGTTTTGGATGCGACATTAGTAATGAAACAAGCTGGGCTTCTGTTATAAGAGAGTACATGGCGATTCTTATTGAAACCTTATTAAGATCGTCAAAATGTTAAAGCAAAGAAATCTTAACTAATCTTTGAAAAGTAGTACCTCTTTCTACCTGTTAGATTAAGCCAGTTTTAAC